TTTAGTAGCATAGTAGTCCTTCTTTACTCTACAATTTACAGTACTTTAATTGATAAAGATTTGATTGAGTTACGAGCAAAAAAGTAAATTGTCATATGGTGTTGCAATACTTTTGACGCACACTGTATAATTGCACCTATGTGTACTACTATTGTTGTTAGAATGAGGTTACCTGAGGTTCCTTTGAGTGCTACTGAAGAAGATAACAGGGATAATGTAGAAGCAGAAGTTGCTGGCATGAACAACAACTTGAAGCAATGACGAGTGCTTTGTAGTGTATGTTTCGGATAAACTCTCTTTTTTGGTGCACACACTTGACAGACAGACAGTCCTGTCTTGTGAGGTTCTTTTTTTTATGACCTATTATGACGAATCGTCCAGATAGACACAAAACGTAGATAATTTTGGTTTGAATTGAAAAAGAGGCAATTAGTCTTGCTCAAGTTGTAGTGTTGATAAAGTGTACAAAAGCAAATGAAAGATGTACAGTAGAAATTCTATAGTCTCCATTGTCTCTATTGCTAGGTCTAGCAGTAACAAGAGGTACAGTTATGGGTGAGAGTGAGGAGAAATGCAGATACACCACAATGTCGATACTCTGGAGTGAGACACAGAACAGAGCAAAGTAAGCATTCCAGGTGTTGAATAAGGCGCCTTTGTGTAACATTACAATGTAAGTTGTGGCGAGCCAGCCTACTGCAATAACAGTGATGCACCAAACTCACAATCCTCACAAGGGTATTAGTGTCTTTGCTTCCTTCTACACTCTCATGCAAATGACGTCAAAGTAGTGTATCTAATTTGCAGTCTGACATTGTATCAGTTGACTTCACACTGGAGAGGGAGGGGCAGGGGAACAGATACAACTCTGTGGGCGCAATAACTTTGCACACCTTATCTAGCAGTATTACGAATGATTCATTCCTTCAAGCATAATATATTTGTATTTATTTATTTCTATCTCCTGTCTACTCTATCTATTAAGTAGTTCATTGTTACTTGGTTCTAATTATAACTGTTTTCTTGTTACTGGGTTCCTGTAAGATCCAGTAATATTGATATAAGAGTCATCACACTCTGTGCTGTACCTTCTCTTGTATTATCTCTGTACACAAAAGTATAGTCTATAGTGTTATTGCTTTTAACATTGAATATTTTGAATGCTAAAGCTTTATTGTGTTAAGCAAGTGTAGTCAGTCTTTAAACAATACACTAAGAGGAGCTAGGAATAAAATGACTCACAACTGTCATTTATTTTTGCTTCAAGTTTTTCCTCATCATCCTTCATAGTACTTGACAACATATCCCATTTTTCATTCATCAGGTCTATAAACTTTTGATTTGCAGACATTATTATTAGAGTAAGATATCAACTACTTTGTTGTGCTTGAACCTATACAGCTATACAGATGCCTGAGTATTAGATTGTGTACTTAGTAGTAAGTGGTACAGTAATGGGTGAAAGAAGGGGCCAAGGCAGGGAGACTGAAAGGTTGATATATCGGTTGGAAAAAGAGCAAAGTAAACTTCCCAAGTGTTACGAAATACACTGTTGTAGAACATCACAAAGTAAGTGTAAGATGTGGCAAGGTGGCTAACTACAATACATAAATGCAATACATCAAATACGCAATCCTTACAAGAGTATTATCGTCTTTACTTCCTTCCACATTCCCATATACATGATGCTGAAATATTATATCTAATTTGCAGTGTAATATTAGTACAGCTCGTTGTTCACATTGTTTCCATCAGCATATAATTTTCATGTTCCTAATATATGCATAGATGAATATGATAGAAAGAAGGGGAAGGAGAAGGAGAAGACATGTCGCAATACATGCTTACGAACATTGTAAATGATGAAAAGGAGTGCTGTAAAGCTTGGAAGATGGAATTGATCGATATCAGATCTTGACCAACTGTGTCACACACGTGATTTGGAGTACCTGGCCGTTCGAGTGCACAAATTATTACTGCTCAGTGCTCAGCGCCATTCAACGAGCACGTACGTCCCAGTCAAGATATTGCTTAAAGTCTCGAATGGATGGGATCTGAAGAGATGGTCGACATGCATGCTGGGTCAAACAGGGACTTCTACAAATGATCCAGACAGGGACCCAACCTCATTGAACAGTCGAAAGAAGGCAGGTTTGAAGGTTTGACGAGTGGCATGACAATTTGGATTTGGAGTCGTGGAGAGGAGCTATCATGATGGCACGCGTGAAACGGCACAATCAATACACCTGACTGCGCCTTCAGTGGACACCTCCTAGGGTCGATAGGCTTCTTTGATGCAGGGGAAACAACGCAAAACTACCGACATATCACCTCAAGGGCTTGTCTTCAACGTTCTCTTCCCAAATAATTTGTGTACCTGACACGTCCTTCTGTAGCATTCTTCTTGCAGAGTGGGATAACTCGACGCCTGGATAAGGTTTGCGACCGCCGGGTCCGAAAAGACGAGATAACGGAGCAATTCATCCGAAAACGAAAATTGACAAGGTTAGTGCCTATATCAGATAAGATGACCCACACCGTGTGAATCTTATCAGATTTTGCCTACATAACAGCTATCGCGACGATCCCCTCCCCCCTCTCCAAATTTTCGCTTGTCTCCCTCATTCTGTCACCTCTCTGTCTCGCTTCGTGATAGAGACTCCAGACAAGATGTCGACGGACTACGAAAAGAAGGAGCACGATTCAGACAGCGAGCACGGAGCGACTCAACGCCCTGGTGTTACCGTCCTCGACCCGAAAACTCGCTCGCAAGTTGTGAAGGAGATTGACGCACATGTTGGCGTGAAGCGGGTGCAGGCTGCCGAAAAGGTCTATGGGAGGTATTCAAAGTGGATCTTGTTCATTTCGTACGTTTTCTCCCTCTACTGTTTGGCAAAGCGCGATTAACGGCGGTTGCATATCTGCAGGCTTGGACTTGCTTCGTACATCTACTCGCTCGACGGACAGACGACAAGCTTTTACTTGACGTTTGCCGCCAGTTCGCTTGGGCAGCACTCGCTCATTGCAGCCGTTGGCACGGCTCAGTCCATCATCAGTGTGTATCTGAACTCTCGTCTTTCCTTCCATTCAATTGACCCTTTCGGGTGTATTTCATAACCGACTGCTTCTTTACTCCCCCTATATCCCCTATATGCTACTCTACCTACGGATCTCGGACGTACATCGGCTTCTACAACAAAAATTTTGACGGAACTTTAACATCGTCCTCATCCTCGTTCGACCTCATACGACATCGCATCCACCAGTCGCCGTTGGCAAGCCCGTTATTGCGAAAGTTGCCGACGTGACATCTCGTGCATATGCATACCTCGGCGTCCGTAAGTTGATCAATCCTTGATGCCAAGGCTGTGATTGATGAGAACCTACTTTTATAGTATTGTTCTACGTGATCGGATATATCGTCATTGCGAGCGCTCGGAACATTGGGGCTATTGCTGTTGGGATCGTTATATACGCTGTGTACGTCGTTCCTTATTGAATTTCTCAGTAACAAGGGATTAATTAGCGGATTTCTTCCTGTCTTTTGCTTACTGTTATATATGCATGGTTTGCAACAGAGGATACACGTACGTCTTTTAGTTCCTCTGCAGTTTCTATTAATGAACCACTTTGTTTAGTGGGCTACAGCTCCTTACCCAAATCATCATCGCAGACATAACAACACTTAAATGGCGTGCCCTCGTTTCTTCGCTGGTCAGCCTTCCATTCGTCGTCAACGCGTTCATCGGTGCGAACATCGCAACTGCCGTCATCGAGCACAGTAGCTGGCGATGGGGATGTATGTCTTCTTTGCTTCTCTCGTCTAATAATTTGAGCGAACATAATACTGTATTTCAGATGGAATGTTTGCAATCCTAGTGCCTGCAACGCTTCTGCCACTAATCATTACACTATTCTGGGCGGAGCGCAAGGCGAGGAAACTTGGTATTGTTGAGCAGTCGCTCGAAGCGGATGGCGTTTCAAAAGACGCACTTCCGTTTGGTAAGTTCAATAATCTAATTTTCATGAACTTGGTCTTATTTTCTGTTTTTCTGTTTAAAGAGTCGAAAAAGAGTGTTGTGGAACGTGCATATATTGTGTTTGGTCAACTGGACGTTGTTGGCCTTGTGTTTCTCGGTGCAGCGGTTGCACTCCTCCTCCTTCCTCTTACACTTGCTGAGAAAGCGAAGGGTCGATGGAAGAACCGTGAGTGGTTGCATTTGTTTTTCGGATACTGGCCTTAACTCGTTCCTTCTTATGTATGGTAGAGTCAATGATTGCGATGCTTGTCGTCGGAATTGTGTTCTTCTTCATCTTTGGTGTATGGGACCTACGCTATGCGAAACGACCCGTAGTTGCTCCACGTTTCTTACGCAACCGGTCTGTCGTCCTGGCGAGCTGGATCGGATTCTTCGACTTCGTACGTTCTTCTCTTATCAGCCCACTTCTCAATAATGTCTTACTCGTCGTACCAAAGGTTTCCTATTATCTTACATATGTATACCTCTACTCCTTTGTTCTCGTCGTCAAACCATGGAGTCAACTTGATGCGACGTATTTTGCCTCTGCACAATCTGTTGCGTTGACTGTCTTTGGTATAACGGCTGGTGCATCAATGCTCTATTTCCGTCGTTACAAGTTCATACTCATTGGCGGATTATGTATCCGATTGGTGTGCGTATCTTTTGTTTCCATTTCTTCCCTGCATTCAGATAATTAGGGCTCACTGAAACCTTGTAGTGGATGCGGCTTGATGATCCACTCTCGCGGCGCCAATGCATCAACGGCTGAGATTGTCTGGACACAAATCCTTCAGGGTCTCGGAGGCGGATTCGCAGCAGTTGCAGGCCAAGTTGGTGCCCAAGCTAGCGTTCCGCACGTAGACGTAGCAATGGTCACAGCTGTAGTATTGCTTTGGACTGAAATCGGCGGTGGAGTTGGGAATGCCATTGGTGAGCCGAACCAATATCTTCCGTCTCGTTAAAATCACAACAATTAATTATACGGTCGATTTTTTTAGCCGGTGCGATTTGGTCTACTACAATGCCCGATAACCTCACCAAATACCTTCCGGACGTCCCCGCTGAACAACGAAACGAGTTATTCGGATCCATCACAGACGTACTCACGTACCCACGAGGATCTGAAATTCGCGAAGGTGTCATCTCAGCTTACGACGCAACGATGAAAGACATGGTCATCGCCGCGACAGTGATAGCAGCCATACCAATTTTGCTCGCGCTCGGGATGCCGAATTGGTACCTAGGGAATAAACAGAACGCTGTGGATGATGAGGAAGTTGGGCCGGAGGTACATAATCGTTGATGTCGGAGCTGACAAGGCGGTTTATGCATTATGTGGGTTATGGGGGTGAGAGCTGCGTTTACAAGGGTGAATGAGTTCTATAACCTACACATCGGCCAAGTGATCGGAATCGGCAATATAAGACAAGGTGATGCTTCTTGTTAAGCGTAAATTTTTGTATTTTACGTCTGTTCTTATACCTTAGAGTCGAATTGACGATTTCACTCCATGCTGAACAGATGAACTCGATTCAACGCAAGACGTATATTTCTTTATATGAATTATTGAAACCTGCTGTCAAGATTTCAGTAGCCTACTCTATGGATCTATGACCACATACTTACATTGTGTTAGTCAGGCTTACAGTCATTCAGTATTTCAGAAGAGAGTGTTGTTTTTTTCCACACTACAGCTGAGCAAGGAGTCGAAACTACACAGTATGACATCATCATTATTACTAAATCAGGCTTGCCTGACTTGATCGCCCATGCTCATATCTCTCACCAGCTTTGTCTGACTTTAGTCTTTAGATACACCCCGCTGCCAACGTAGTGGTGTTTGCAGTAAATGCAGTAAAGTAACTTTATGAGGTAGCTTTCCACTCTATATCTGTGGTTGCAACTCTTAAATTCCTTCGTCAGGCATGTAAGAAGCAGCAGGAATGTCACAGTGCAGCGTCCGAACTTATATCGGAGATAGCGGAAGTTCTGCCATTCGTCGAACTTCCAATGCACTGTCCAAAGGCTGGTATATCTGCACAGACGGTTGGAAGAATGCTCGAACTTTTTGAAGAAATTGCAAGGATGATAATTCGGTACTCAGATTCTACTGTGATAGGTAAATCAGAATCACCGTTCTATTATTTACGCCTTCTAAAACGGTAATCCATACAGGAATGTTGTTAAACAATTGTATCGAGGAAGTAAACCATAAAAAAGAGGAGCTGAGACATCTAAAGGATACATTCGACTGGTGTGTCAAGACAGAAACATGGAAGACAGTTTTGAGGACTGGTATGCTTGGAACACTCTTTTTTCAACCACCACTCACATACTCTGCACAGAGTCATATGTAGGAGACACAACCCTCACGCACTTGCGGCCAGTTCCACAAGCATTCTACAAACTCTAAAATGCATGCTTCGAAGGATCGAGGAGAGAAACGCTCCAAGTGATAGAAAACTGGTCGAAATCTGAGTCAAAACTGTTCTGGCTCTATGGATCTGCAAAATCTGGAAAGTCAGCGATCGCACGCACGGCTGCTCGTCTCTTTGATGCACAGAATCGGCTTGCTGGATGCTTCTTTTGCGATGCAGACGACCACGAGCGCCGGTCTCCAGAGAGAATCATACCGACTATCGCGTATCAGCTATCCAAATGGCACAGAGATTATCGGTCCATTGTTCTCGACATTCTACAAAGCAGAGGTGAACTCGACCTTGAGTCGGGATTGGAGCGTCGATCTGACCTCCTGGTCAAACAACCGGTTGCTCAATCTTCCGTTTGTCACCCTCCACTTGATAGCTCACTGGTAATTGTCTTGGATGCACTCGACGAATGCTGCGACTCTGCTAACTCGTTGCATACGCTCCAGACGGAAGCAGGATTGTGTCAGGCTCCGGGGACAAGACTCTGCGAATTTGGGACGCGAAAAGTGGCAAATTCATCGGCGAGCCCCTCAGCGGTCACAGCGACCACGTCACTGGCGTTGCTTACTCCCCGGACGGGACAAGGATTGTGTCTGGCTCCAATGACGGGACACTACGGGTCTGGGACACACGAAGCGGCAGGCCTATTGGTGAGCCTCTCAAGGGTCGCAGCGGAGTTGTTATGAGTGTTGCATATTCTCCGGACGGGAGCCGGATCGTCTCTGGGTCTTACGACCGTATGCTGCGAATTTGGAACGCAACGTCTGGCAAACACATCGGCGGGCCTCTCTGCGGTCACGAAAGTGACGTTTATTCTGTGGCATACTCTCCTGACTGGAAACGAATTGCTTCTGGATCTGCAGACGGGACAATACGTATTTGGGATGCTAATAGTCACACTTGTGTCAAAACGATGATCCTTGGCGAAAGTCGGTGGGATCCTAATACGCAATGTTTCTTAACAATTGCCAAGAGCTACAGTAAGCTTTCCATTACACATACTTCCAACCCTTCAACTATCCCAGACGATGCCTGGCTCCGAACATTAGACAGCGGCCTCTTCTTATGGGTCCCTCCGGAACATCGACGCAGTATATGTCATGTAGGCCAAGTTCGCATTCCTAACAACGAGAATGGAAAGCTCATGACAATCGACTGGAGGAAGATTCCTCACGGGGACAATTGGATGAACATTTTGCGTGTTGAAGCGTCAGAAGACTGAACTCGTTCTTGTTATTTAGATAGACTATTTACGAGTTTTGTATCATGTTCTTTTGCTGCGATCGCAAGTTATCCAATCAGGTTTATTATATTAAACCCTGTACCATATTAGTCGTTTTGCCCACTAGATTGCTCATGATAAAGTAATTCAACTTTGAAGGTTGAACTGTATATCAAAAACGTACTATAAGACGAGTATTCAATGTTGAGCTACCCAGCATTCATACTATACTGATCAGGTGAGCCTACAAATGGTACTAGTCTGGTTGGGCTGGACCAATGGATGACACCAGTTTTTGCAGGGACAGATAACTTGATGCCTAGAGAAAGGTTTGCAACTACCGGGTCCGAAAGTGGAGATATGGAATGAATTCATTGCAAAACCAAATTGACAATATAAGTGCCTGTAGCAGATAGGATAACCTGTCGCATCCATGTTCTGGAGTTGATAGGTAGGGCTCGGTACCGTACCGTATACGGATACGGGCCGTATAATACGACCCTTATACGGATACGGCTCGTATAATACGGTGCCGTATTTCTGAACCCGAAAACCTATACGGATACGGTACGGCCGTATACGGAACGTATACGCCATATACGGATACGGCGTAGTTGCTACATTTACCAAGGTGTAGCATGAGATGTAAGGGGCTACATCATTGTGATATTACCCCTTTAGTATAGAAATATTGAATTCTACCTATATTATACCTTAATCTACATGAAATGTATAAAATTTGACTTATTGACATTTTGTTATGTAATTTAGTCTGTGATATTTGTCATAAAGTCGAGTCATGTGATGTACCTATATTATAGTATATATCAGAATATATATCAGATTGCACATACTTTTACAATAATAGTGCTGAATATATTACTAAATGCTAGTATAAGTGTCTGGACATTGAATACTACTTATTAGAGCTTCAGTATTATGTTTAGAGAGAGAGTTTCTTTCATTTAGTAGCCGTATATTGTATACAGGCGTATACGGTCCGTATTATACAGACTATATACGGTTACGGCCCGTAAAATACGTGCCGTATTTTTGAGTCAAATTTTTTATACGGATACGGTACGGCACCGTATACGAAAATGCCGTATCTGTATAATACGGTACGGGACCGAGCCCTATTGATAGGCCACACGATATTTGCTCGGTGAAGTTAGTTTAAGTAGTATACAATCTTTTCCTAACCTATATCACATTTAAGTTTATAATTCCGGCTCCTTCACATTGCTATGTCTGATTCAGTCTGAGTTCCAGTCATTGCCTTCCTTAAGATCGGTGCATGTGCACCCACGGTGTCTTCATACGCATTTGTCACCCGCAAGTTTGCTACGTTCCTCCTTATGTGATATTTGCCTATGCATGCGTTCCTATCCAGGATATCTTATCTATGCAAAGCGGAAATGCAGTTCACTTGTTTGACCATCGAGACTATCTCGGGCGATAACATACCTTTATCTCTGAGACGACCGACTTGTAGAGCTGCGAGGAGGCCGGATGTGGAAGCTGTGAACGCTTCGACGAGCTTCTTTTGGGCTAGTTTAAATGAAGCGATGGGCCGTTTAAATTGGTTCATTCGAGCGCGTATTCGCGTGTTCGTGCAATGAAACCATCGAGCGAGCCTGTACCGCATTGTTGAGACACGAAAAGGTAGATTCGACACCGGAAGTGCCTTCGAGTAGGGATCTTTAGGTACGCGTACGATATCCACGAATTCGGAACTAGTGAGAGAGATGCGCAGTGCGAGTTTGTTTTTGATTGGCGGTATCTCGAGTCCGAGAATGCTTGATTATGAACGGTTGATGAGGAACCCTCGGATCTTGTCGTCCCTTTTACAGCGGGCTCAGGTAGGTATGAGGTCTGCAACGGGTGTGTTGGAGATCCACGTCTTGCTACATTTTATTATAAACCGACCATCAATGTCCTCAGCGGTTGTATCCACACTGGCTCGATCAGATCCGTGGTTCGTTTCTACAAGATCTTGTGAATAGTGATTAGACATTGTTTTTAGGTAGTAGTCAAGGGATAGACACACGAAACACCGGATTATCCCTCCCTTTGCAAGCCGTGGAAGGTACTTCTCCTTCTGAGCGTCTGAGCCGAATGTGTGAATGGGGTGCATGGCTAGAGAGGATTTCACGTCCATTGTTGAGCGATACCCAGAGTCGATACTAATGGCACGTCAATATTAAGACAGCTGAACTAATGATGATGTAAACGGAGAGACGTACCATTCCACTTCGCGAGCAACGAGTCCATATGCTATGTTATTTACACCTGCGCATCCGTAACCCTTTATATTCAGCCCAAGCAATCCAAGCTGACCCGTTTCAGGTGATATTTCTGGCACAAGCGCTACGGTAGAGTAAGCATCGAACGCAGAGAGCAGAGAGAGGAAAGTAGATATTTACTATTCGCTGAGCTTCAAGGACTCGAGGGGCAAATTCTTCCTGGTACGCGTATTATTTTGTAAGCGGCGCCCAGACATCGGACACGGCCCAATGCATACGGACCCTGATAATACGAGCGAGCTGTATCCCTGATGGCGAGTCAATATCAGGAGTTGATATTTGAAAGTGTGTACAGACCGAACGTCTATGTTTGCTTGTGTGTAACGACTCGAGGTTGAGTTAGTCCTAAGCACGTCGTGTCGTGACAAAGTGAATGGCAGAAAACGGTGCACAAGACATACCTCTTAGTTATACTTTGCAAAAGTTGAGGCATATTTCCTTGGCGATAACTGAGCATAGCAATGCTGACGACATGGCCGACGTTGGGAGAGTGAGTGACCTTCGCGACTCCGGAAAGCCAATCCTGTGACTATTTTTGCAAAAGATTTCTTCTCTTTTCCTGCGTGTTTTCAAGACTACAATCAGTATAAACGAATTAGACGAGTTCCAGGATAGATTTGTGCAATTTGCTAATAAGTACAGTCCAACGAATATAAATAGGTTCTTTTTTATCAGCTGTGTGCGTCTCCAGCGGCCAGAGTAGTTGTTCGTATGTGATTCAGTTAAAATAAGAATATTACGTAATAAGGGTCTTTCTTCATTGCCATCGAGTGTAGCTCAGCTCGGAGTCAGTGCCCTGGTTTCGCTGTCTCGACCCGAAAACCTGCTCACAGTTCATGAAGGAAATCAATGCACACGTTGGTGCAAAGTGGGTACAGACCACCGAAAATGTTTATGGGCGGAATTCGAGTGGATCTCTCCCCCTCTAGGGCCTCTACTGTTTGGCAAAGCGCAGTTAATGACAGACGCATATCTGCAGGCTTGGACTTGCTTCGCACATCTACTCGCTCGATGGACAGGCAACAAGCTTTTACTTGATATTTGACGCCAGCTCGCTTGGACAGTGCTCACTCAGCGTGGCTGTTGGCACTAGTGATACGCAAGGTCGGGTCAGGTCGGGTCAGGAGGGTTTTTAGTCTGACCCATGACCTGACCCAGGTCAGAATTTTCCAAAAATCCTGACCTGTGACCTGACCCAGTCTGACCCAGCTGGGTCAGGTCAAAGTGAGTCAGGTCAGGTCAGGTCAGGGGTCAACCTAGGTCAATGTGTACTTATACTAGTCTCTTACTACAGATTTTCTTATGCAGCCCTTGTTGTAGACAGAGACTATTACTATCTGAGTTAATAGGTTTGTTAATAAGCTCAGTTATTATAGGATAAAACTCTGTCTGTCAAAGTAATCTAAATTTACACTTGAAACACTTACAGTTAATTATTAAGGTACAGTTATGAAATGTATACTTGAGTAGTCAACAATTGTTATACTTACATTACAAACTGTGTTTGATACAGATGAAGGAGGAAAGTAGTTATACTTTGTTTGAGCTAAAGATAAGAACAGATTATACATACTATATAGTGTGTAATATTAATCTTAAGTCTGTCTAGACAGACAAACCTTATACATTTTCTAAACAATTGAATACATACTACTCCTAGGTAGAGTAGCTAAGAAGCTAAGACCACTCATCTGTGTCCTAGTCAGTAGATGCATTCTTACTGTCATTCACATAAACCATACATTCCTTGTCCTTACTCTCTGGATTTATGTCTGGATTGTATTCCTGTCTGTTTATCTTAAACCATCTTAGCTTCATCCCCTTTGACAGTCCTATAGCCTCTTGTACAGTGTCTATGTGAGTCTGTAAATATTTGCTTTCATCCACTTTGTACATTCAAACGTTATAAACAAAGCTAACAATCATAGCAGGTTGACTACAGTATTTTACTGGATGTATGAAGAAAAAGATCTTAGTCTTTGATAGTACCTGGTCTATTATCTTAAAGAGGATGATTCTAGCATTCCTATCCTAGTCAAGATTTCTCCTCTCTACAAACAGCTACATATACTTGTTCTTGAGCTAGTACCCATACATCCAGTAGTACATAAAGATCTATCTGGTTTTTCAGTTGCATCTGTAAGTAGAATAAGGTATACATATTTTAGGCACTTTAAGCCAAACAATAAAGAAAGGCTATGTAAGAGGAGAAAGACTAGTCAAGTAGTATACATAAAAAGATTAATCAGAATCAGAACTGCTTGAAGAAAATATGGCCAAGACATCTGCCTCCTTAATTTTCTAACCAGCCTAACAATGTACAATCATTTGGTAGTAGTCATACACTATCTGGAACAAAGTAAAAATATTTGAAGTTGTCCTGTTCTACTACTTTGTATTTACAATCCCTGCTATTGAAAAGAGCCACTTGTATAGAACTAATAATGCTTGAATAGACAAATAGTCTCTTACAATCTGAGAAAGGGTAGGGAACCTGAATTCATTCTCCTAGTAAAACATTAGATACTTTATTACAAAATAAGAATAATAGAATACTTTCCATCAGAGTAATAGATCCAAACCCTTGTTAGGGTCTATATCTTCAACATCATTAGTGTACCTTGTAAGTTCTTTATAAGGATCCTTTAGCTTGTCTCCAAATTGTCTTCTCATTACTAGAGCTACTGCTTGCATCTACTTGTGTCTATAAGAGAGTAAAGCTGACTTCTCTAAGAGTTTATAAGAAGTGCTAGGACTAATCTCAGGCTAGGATAACTGTACAGGGATTAGCCTAGAGTGTATGTTGTACTTCTCAAACTATAGATACATTAGATATTAAATAATTAGAGAAAAAATAAAGACTCACAACAGTATTAATAACTTTGAAAGTAGTCTCCTAACCCTTTTCAGACTAAAACTCTTTAAAGTAGTGTCCTTTTGTAAGGGGATTCAAAACTAAAGTAACTAGTCAACTACTAAAAATACTAAAATATTTATAAAAAAACTTATACAGATTAATAATTTGAGTACTAGAATGAGTAGCCTTCTCAAAGTATTTCTCAATTAAAGCAATCCCTTTCTGAAGTGACTCTTTAAGAGATGAATACAGAGGATTATCTCTCATAAACTTTTACTGTAGAAGAAATGCTTTAAGAGTAGGAAATACTTGCCAGACAGTTAGAATCTGGTCAGATGAAAATTGTTGTTGAATAGTACTAGACTCCTAGTAATGTATTTTATTAGTATAATGTATAAGTAAATAAAGAAAAGTATACTATAAGAACAGTATGGATAAGTTCTAATGTTTTCCAGTCATTCTTAAGAAATCAATATGTTGAATATTTAGACTGTCTAGGACCAACTCAAGAGACATGTTTAGTATAATCAGTATTCCTAGTAAAGCTATTAACAGCCTAGATTTTACATTAGTATGAATATAATATATAGTTCTGATACTTACTTTTTGAACTTTAATGAAGTGATTAAGGACTAGCTCCCAGCTTTGGAATCAAGTTGGAACAAAGGAAATAAGTTCTAAAGGCTTTATATTAACATTCTTACAACAAATAAGAAAGTAATCCTTTACTCTAGAAGACTTCCTAACCTATATACAGTGTAAACCAAGGAATACAATATCTTATTAGATTTAACTTACTTTTACTATTAAGCCTTACACTTTTAATAATAATCAACTCAAGTGAATTGTATTATGTAACTAAGGATGTGTGAAATTGTCAGAGTCAACCTTAGTGATTAAGGACACTATATCTTCTTCATTATCCTTATCCATATTAGTAGGTAATGAAGATAAAGAAGAAGCTATAGATAAGGTAGACAGAAATACTTTAGAGCATAAATTGATAACATACTCAAAACAACTATAATAAAAAATTGTTAAATTTGAGGAAAATAAGATAAAGTATAAGAAATTACTAAGATCTTTAGTTCTGAGCATTAAATTCAATACTATTCTCAGCCAAAAGTTCCCTCAGCTTGACTATTATTGTATTATTAGTAGATACATTGTTACTAGTTAAGTTTCTAAACTAAAAAGGTATAAATACTTGTATAATTATGTAGAAATGATTAAAAAATCATACCTTATTTGTAATACCAAATCTTTTAGCAATATTGTAAAGCATTTCAGTTTGAGCTTTAGTAGAGTAGCTATTTGTTATGACTTCTAGTATAAGAAGTTGAGTATGTAACTACTAATCAGAGTTAAGCTAATAGACTGTAACACTAAGATATACTGTCATATTAGCTAATGTCTAACAATTATAAGTTAGGGATACTAGTCTAGGAGTATTCTATATTAAAATTAGAAGAGTAACTAATGAAAAAGAAGTAAAAGAAAATACCTTCAAATTGACTTTAAACTCATTTTGAATCTCTCTTACTTGTTACTCAATATAATGTTTGACAGTATCAGGACTAATAATATCAGATGGCTTATACTTCAAACCTTGCTGGTAGGCAAGCATATTATGAAAGGACTTGTACTTAATAGTATTTAGAGTCTAAAACATAAGTTTTGTAAGAAAAAAGAATAAAGGAATACAAATTAGTATAATACTTACAACATTTGTATTAACAATAAAATTTTCAATCCTCTCAGAAAGTTTATCCTTAGTCCAAATAGTATCAGTACTAGGTACTATAAAACCTGTCAATTTAGACTGTCTAGAATATAGTACTTAGATTAAAAAGAACAATATATACTTTAGAATACATACTTTTTACCTGAATCTTCAATCTTCTTAGATTTCTGAAGATCTTCAGGACAAGTATACTTTAAGTTATTAAGGTACACTTGAGAATCAAGAAGACTATTATTCTTACAGGTTTCTTTATATTTTCTGAAGTACTAGTAGTTGTCTTCTTTTCTTTGAGTAATATAACAATATAAAGTAGTAGTATTTGACTTTCCCTTAAAAAGAGGTTCTAACTTTGAATATCTTACTAGGGCTTTGTTCTTAAGCTTACTTATGTATTCTTGTATTTAGTATGTTTATTAAGTATAATAATTTAGAGTATCTCACTTACAAACAAGACATCTTACTTGCTTTTTACTATCATTTGTAGAGAAGAACTTATAAAGAGGGGTAATGTTCTCTATACTCTACCTTCTAACTAAAATAAATAGTTCTACCTTAGAGGAACTGTCCTTAATCTCCTAAATATCTTAAAGCATATTTATAACATGTAAAATTAGTTATAATTGTTGATTGAATACACAGTACAAGTAATAGATGTGTTTGTAATATAACAGTTAAGGACAACTGTGTCTGTTGAATCTGTTAACTATGTCTTCCAAACAAAGATAATAGAAGCTCTCAAGTAAACTAGGTAGTAAGTAACCATTCTTACTGTCTTTAGTCAGACAGTCAACTCTACTTTCTCTCTACTTAGACTAGATTAACATACCTTTACTTCTACTCACATTCTTTAAAAACT